TKKTTWARGGKYMAWYMRGSGATCTTAAAGGCACATGCTACGATGTCTCTTCCAATGKATGCAGATATGGCTTTTAAGATTGTTTATTCAGTTCAGATTCTTACCAACATCATTGGAAATAGTCTAGTGTGCTTGGTTGTCTGTCGCTTTCCGTTTATGAAAACTTCAATGAACTATCTACTTCTCCATCTTGCCATCTGTGACGTAATGGCGGGAGTGTTCTTCTCTGGTAATCGCGTTTTCTTCGGACTTTACGACCATCCAAGTGGTGATTTTGGGGATTTTCTCTGCAAGTTTGTAACTTATGGGAATCTAGCTTGGTATGCTTCGTGCGCCAGTGTTTGTACACTTATAGCAATTGCATGGGAAAGATATAATGCTATTGTGAAACCATACTCTCCGAGATTCTCGCAGAAGAAAGTCAAGATAACGGTCGTCGTAAGTTGGGTTTATGCGTGTGTTATTTGTTTTCTAGACACTCTAGCTTTAAAATACAATCAGAACATCAACTCTTGTGACTATATTTGGGAGCTAGAATGGGTTGTTAAAGTTGACGCAGCAATATGGTTGTTTGTATTTGGGATCTTACCTTATTGCATTATGATGACGTTATATGGAAAAGTTGTGCAAACATTATGGTGCTCCCGGCGGGAAAGTGACATTTCTCAAATTAATCTCTACAAATCTAGGAAGCGAGTGACAAAAATCACAATGATTGTGACTGCGATATTTTTTGCTTGCTGGATGCCGAACATGATCAATTACTTCATAACGTCTTATTCAGCCAAGCAATCTTCCACAGTGGAAAAACTGGACAGCATTTCTCCCTACGTCTATCCAACTACATTGATGCTGGTTCTTTTCAATTCAACAACGAACCCCTTCATTTACGCGTTGCAGGATGTTCGCTTTAGAAGATGCATGGGTCGATTGCTCTGCCGAGGGTGTCGAGCAAACAAAATTCGTACACATGTGAACTCAGCCAGAAAAGATGTTGAAATTTTGGGAAATAACCAACACTATGTTGAAGCCATGAAAGAGCAAAACATTTAGAGAATGCCGCTTGTTGTTGACTATATTTTTATTGTTTTTTTTTTTTTTTTTGTAATATCCGGAATAATCTTCAAGACCGGAGGAAACCTTGATTATTTCGACTGCAAAACCCTTATGCAATTACAGCAGTTATTACACATTTGTTTGATTATGTAACATGAGAGTGTCGAGATTAAGCGTTGATATTAGTTCCTTTTGTTGTGTTTACTTTAATCTTCTCAAAATTTATTAGATCCTCGTTTCAGACGCGGCTCGAGGGGGGGGGCGTACTCCCCTATATTCGCTATACGGGGACGTGCCGCCAGCTAGGGTATCGTTTTCAGCGATTTTACTCTGGAACAGGGTATCGATTTCAACGAATTTTCTCTGGAACAGGGTCAGGGTTGAATTCCGGAATTATTGATGCTGGATAAAAATTCATGGGGTAAAAATTCGGTCTACACGCAAGCTAGTGCAGGATTTACTCAGGAACCGAGATTATCGTTTTCAGCGATTTTACTCTGGAACAGGGTATAGTTTTCAGCGATTTCACTCTGGAACAGGGTCAGGGTTTTGAGGTCCCAGCGGCACACCCCCACACAAGTTTCGGGGGAGTACCCCCCCCGGGAATTTACCACACTTCGCCGACTTTCTTCGCTGTTCTCAGTTGCCAACCGTGACGGTCACGAACCTTCCAGCACATGGTTTATAGTGCATAACTGAATGATAATGGTGGGACTTCTAAAAATTCTCCCCAAAGTCGTTTTGTTTGAAACAGCACAACTACTTCTTTTTTTGCCAACTTGAAAAGCAAAGACGTTTTTGAAAAAAAAAAAAAAAAAAAAATCCTGGTATTCTTAATTGTTGCACACTATGATGGAGACCACGTAGCTAGGAGAGTCTCCCTTTACAACAAAAAAACTTCAGAATTGACCACGAGTACGAGATTGAAGTACGAGTACCAGCTTATCACACTTTTAGCCAATTTTAAAACTCGTACTCGTATCAATGTTGTTCTCCTTTCATAGCCGTACCCAGAACTGCCTACAACTTTCTTCAAAAAGTTTGCAAAAACCCATGAAGGCATGAAAAAAGTAAAATGAAATCTGAAATAAAGACAAAAAATAAAAGAAAAAAAATAATATTTAAGTAAAAAAATAAATATGTAGCCGAGATTACCGAATAAATTAGACATTGATTCATTTTCATTCTCACTTTAAATTATAAACAAAAAGTAAAGTCAACGACGAATAATAACCGAAATTGTAATTATGTTCAGATCCTTGTCTTAAAGGGACACTGTCAATGGATGACATGCGCAGTAACAGTCTCGCCTCTAATGGACTTTGAAAGTATTACGAGGTACATCATTTTATGGTGCTTTTGACACACTTTGGAATATTCTAGATCTGTTTACGTTTACGAGCTGATTTATTTCTCGCCAACTTGGAGTCATAAACTTGAAAACATTAGCCTATAAATGTTTTCAAGTTTACTCGCGCAGGCGTGCCATTGACAGTCACCTGTAGTTACTACAAGATATCCTCGAAAATATTTGTTTTGTTCCCGCTCGGTGATTTCTGCCCCATGATTGGTCGAGAGTTTTACCCAGAGTGCTTTGGTGAACGTGTTGTCTTTGCAGCGTCGCGTTCGCGATTGATTGTTGCGTTGATATTTGTTTTTAAATTATTACAGTTTCTAACTGTAAATTGCACTTGTAGATGCTGGGAAATGTAAGAGGARCACCAGGTAAGTACGTTCTTGAACAAACCTTCCGTTTTTTTGTAGCATGCTAAAATCAAGCTTGTAAATCAAGGTAGTAAGTTAAGTAGTAGGACTGTTGGGCCAAGCCGTTCTAATCTTATAAAAATTTTCAAACTTTTTGTTATACAAATATAGGTGGTGAAATTTATAAATGGATTCTTCTGACTGAACATGAATGATTGATATTAAAATGGTTAGTTTTTGTGTTTGGCCAGCCAGTCCTGTAAACAAATGATGACTTCGTGGCACGTCCCGCCACAGGCAGYCCAACCTCTACAATATTCATTTTCTCTCTTCAGATATCAATGAAAATGCAAAARCGTTTTGTTTGGTGTGCAGCGGCCATCATAACTTTTCTTGCCTTATATAGCTGGAATAACTGGCAATCTAGAGACATTCATGTCCATATATGCAACTTGACATGCAAAGATAAGCTAGAGACAAGAATCACATTTTCAAGTTTATCAAAGAAAATAGACTGGGCATCAATAGACAAAAAACCCAAACCATCTGATTTGCATGATAAGTGGGTTGTCGTGACAACTATAAACCTACCTACAAAGGATGTTGACTTTTTGTCAAAGATGAAGGGATGGAAAGTTGTAGTGGTTGGGGATACCAAAACGCCTAAGGAATGGAGGTAATGCTTAGTTAAAACAGTGATAATACCATAATAAAATATTAGTATTTATCATATAATTATCTTTGAAATACCTATATTTCTCCATTACGTAAAATTGATATTTTCACTAGTGAAAATAACATGTTATTTTCACTAGTGAAAATAAGTAAGAAAATAGATATTTTCCGACATAATTTGCTTTCATATTTAATTATATGTTAAACAGAATATTACATGGTAGCTTTGAGATACGAATTTTATCTTCTCATGTTGAAAATCTCTCACTCGTTCGCTACGCTCACTTGTGAGAGATCTTTTCAACACTCGAAGATAAAATCCGTATCTCCGCGCGCCCATGTAATATCCTCTATTTCTTATCATTATGGCAGCCAATTAGAGTCAATGTGCAGCAATACGTACTAGTATTTCTGCAGAAAATGACTTATRAGGTCTGTTTTTAATGGGGTTCAAAAGTCTTACTTGTGCAGTAAATGTTAAATTTTATGACAAGGAAAAATTATCTATGAAACACCTATATTCCTCTTTTCCATTTCTTTCTATATATTGGAAGTAAAAATGGTATTTTACCACATAATTTGCTTTCAAATAAATTATATTTTTTATATATTTATAAATTTTTTATATTATTCAATTTTTTTAAAATTTAAAATAGAATTTTACATAGTCACTTGGAGATATGAATTTTATCTTATCATATAAAAKAAACCCAAGGTAAAGATACATATTTTCTTTTCTTTTCAGCCATCCCAACTGTGTGTTTTTAAGTGTAGATGAGCAGAAAAAACTTGGCTACCAAATTGTAGATCTTCTTCCTTACAAAAGTTATGCTCGCAAGAATATTGGCTACCTCTATGCTATTCACCACGGTGCAAAACAAATTTATGATACAGATGATGATAATCATCCTTTGTCTGGTCAATTATCATTCTATGAAAAAGACAGAGGTGATTTTCTTGTTTACAACACTCAAGCCTCATCAGTGAATCCTTACTCACACTTTGGGCAGAGCACAATATGGCCAAGAGGCTACCCGCTTGAAAACATCTCCAATCCAACCAATCATGTTTTTGACAAGTGCCAGGATGTACAAGCYTTGATTCAGCAGGGTGTGGTGGATGGRGACCCAGATGTTGATGCTATTTATAGACTAACCCGCAAAGATAAAGGCGTTCGCCTTGATGTGAAGTTTGATTCAAATGCAGYGCCAGTTCTTCTCCCGCCTGGGACAATGGCACCATTCAACTCTCAGAACACCTTTTTTCTCTACAACTCGCTCTGGGCCACTGTGTTGCCCATAACAACATCATTTCGGGTGTGTGATATCTGGCGTGGTTATTTTGCTCAGAGGTTGCTTTGGGAGATTGGTGGATATTTGTCATTTTTTCCCCCTAATGCAGTTCAATTTCGAAGTGCACATGATTATCTTTTGGATTTCATTGATGAAAAAGACTTGTATCATGACGCTGGTCGTCTTGTCAAATTCTTAATCAATTGGAAGTCCAACGAAAAAGATTTCTTCAGGAGAATTATGGAGCTTAGTGTTGCAATGGTTGAAAATGAGTTYTGGGGAGTAAAGGATGCTATATTAACTGAAGCCTGGCTTAGTGATCTCATTAGTGTCGGTTATGAAATTCCAAAGCTACAACCTACACCACAAAAATGTGAAAAAATTGTTGAAAAAGGACTGTTTTTGAAACAGAAAGAACAGCCAAGCTCTTATCTGAGAAAAGGCAATGAATTGGTAGAACTTTAGAGGAAACTTTTAAAAACCTTCACTAGAGCAGACGATACGGGGCAGACCTTTGAAAGTCTTTGAGACCAAGAAATGGTAGTAAGATAGACTCTTTCTCTTAAACTTCTTCAAACTTTCTCAGTTTGGTTCATTTGTTTTTTGATATTAAATTAATAATATATTAATATATTTTTAGGGAATGTACTGTAAGTGGTTTTGTATTTTCAATGCAGCGGGATATTTTCATGAAAAAGGAAATACTGGGTGGGCTTTTATCCCATTATGGTTTTAGAGTACAAACGCTAAATGTGTGCACTGTACTATTTACTGTGAAATAGCCCCAATACAACTAAACAATAGAAGACGGTAGAATTAAGAGAGAGAGTGATATAAATTTTTTTTGTGTCTTGGACAGGGTAATATTTTCATAAAAAAACACCATAGAAATAGTAGAAATACCGTTTCACTGTCCCAGGATTAACGTGTTATCAAAAACTTTTTATTGTCTTAGATGGATGTCAGTATAATTGCAGTTTTGATGGTTGCAGYGTAGATAGCTATTCCTTATTTTTTTCAACTTGTCTTGAACAGGGTATGGATTTTTTTTTACAGGGTTTTAGACCGCTGGTGGCACATACCTATCCAAAATGGGGTCGAGTACCCCCCAACCCCAACCCCCGGAATTAGGATAATTATTTATGAGTATTTAGTGGTATTTATCTTGCACACTTTTAGTGTTTGTAATGATCTCACTTAAACCGTGCAACTGTGCAAAATCTAAGTAGTACTAATTTGTACTAAGAGTGGACCTGAAGCAAGACGGCATTGAATGCTTCATTTGTATCAATTCAATTTAATTTGGGTACCGCGTGTACGATTTACTAAAGACAACTAAATGGGACTATTTAGTTTGTACAGTTGCACGGATTAAGTGCGATCACTCTATAAATTTGTAGGTCTRAATCTAAGTCAAATAAAAGCTGTCACTTTTCTTTTTGACATTCTAAGTATTTTTGTGCTTTTTTGAGTGAATACACTGCACTAACCATACAATAAAATTCTGAACAATTTGAAAGAGTATCATATTTACAAGATATTTGGTTATTGATTTGTGTATTGCATGTATCAAATATAATATGTTGATATATGAATGATGATTATCTGATTCAGCTTTTCCAAAATACTAGTGAATTTTCATGTTAAACTTACAAATTTTACCAAATGTGCAATATTTGCCACTGATTTCACTATTTACATTATTCATTATGTCTATYCATGTCTAATGGGCCTCCTGTGCCTTTTTCAACCGTGAGAGAATAAGGTTAAGCGATTTGAGAGAGTTGGCTAAAGATTGGTACACAGGTTAGACTGTGGAATGAGGTCGAGCATGCTCTTGACATTGATAAACAGCAGGCGAGAAGAATGATGATGAAGAAAAAGAACGCTCTCTTGCCATTCCGTTTTAGGAAAAGCGCCCTAATGCCCTAATGCTGTTGTACGGCCACATTAGGAGAGCATGATGATGAGTAAACAAATTAGAACCAAGATGAGTAAGAAGGATGCGCTAGGAAATTGATATCCATATACAGAAACTGGTTGAATATTAGTAAATTTGATACAAAATGTGTTATTCTTGCTCGTCAACTCCAACTTTGCTGTTTGTTTTTTCTTGCATTTCTTTTTCATATTGACGGACATCGTTGATATCCATTTCTGGAAGAAAGGAAAACAAATAAAAACATTAGAAATCGTAAAAAAAAGAATGAATGTATTGGACTGAATGCAAAGTTAATGGGTTCAAGGGGGAAGTAGGGGAGGGGGGATTTCTAGGGGTTCCGTAATCCCACTACTACTTGSGAACGAGACGTGTCACTTTTTTTCACATCAGAAAAGTCTTCTTCATATTCAGGTTACGTCACAGCGGCCATCTTGGTTGAACTTTAACAAACGATTTCTCATTAGCATCTATTGTTCATTCCTCCAACATGGCCGCCGGTCTTTCATCTTCTGAATCTCATGGGAATGGGTGAAAAACGATCAACACCTTGTGAGCAGTACATCTTACTTTCTGAAACATTCGCGACAACGATTTACCCTAATTTTTCAAAGAAACTTCCTTCGTTCTTATAGGACAGCTACTACCGATACCATAATGCACTTCGCCAAAACAAATGACGTCATTTGACGTACTTTATTCGATACGTACCATACCAAAGATCAATCCAAGCAAACGCTTGTCGATGTCCAACTGATAATATATCTTGGATGACCTGCAGTATATGAAACCATCGGTAATCAATCAATGAATACAATATTGCACTATTTCATTATGACATCATAGTATGTTTACATCGAGTAAAGATGGTCAAAAAGTAGAAATTCTGACCCATCTATATACTGTCCGAAATAATAAATTCAATGAATAGTGTTTTGATATTTATTATCATCAAATATTGCACGTGTACATTTTGTTTGATATGCAGTAGATCTCATCCCCTCTAGCCTATATCCCTCTGGCGACCATTATGATGTTTAAAAAATAGAATGTTTGATWGTGACGTAATAATGAAAAAGCGCAATTGCCAAACATTTAACGCTCTCAGTGATTTCAGCGATTCCTGCAAATGGGGGAACTGAACTGAAATGGGAAGTGTCCATATGCGGAGGTCAATGGTATGAGAAACAGAGACAATTATTAATGCAATACTCCAATTTCGAGTTCTGGTTTGCTCTGTGTTAGCCTCAAAACCAAGTAACATATTCTTTTGTTTCATTGATAGCCCGAGAAAACGCATGGAATTCGAAAAGAAAGACAACAGAATCATGATTTGAAATCTCACACTTTTATTCTGACAATTAGGACTATTTTGCGCACAAATGAGGCTAACACAGAGCATTGGAGAATTCGAAACTGGATTATTGCTTGCCTGTCTTAAAGGGTCACTGTCAATGGCACGCATGCGCGAGTAAACTTGAAAAGATTATGCTAATGTTTTCAAGTCAGTTACGACTCCAAGTTGGCGCGACGCATGACAAAAAAAGTACTTGTAAACGTAAACAGATCTAGAATATTCCAAAGTGTGTCGAAACATTCCTCGAAGGTAATACTCTTTAACTAAGCTGAACTAATCAGGCTAGCTGTCTGTTTGAACCAACAATAGACACCCTTCGATCCGCAAAACATCATGTCCCCCTCGCCCAGCTAAGTCAGGTTTACTACTTAAATTTATCGCATTAGTATATGACATACACCTACTTGCGAAAACGTTAAAAAATAGGACATAGCTATTCAGTAAAAAGGAATAAATTAAAAAGACAAAAGAAGATCACTGAGAATTTATTCCTTTTTACTAAATTTACATGTTCCATTTTCTATGAAAACGTTTCTGAAAGGAGGTGTATATAAGTTCCAAATATTTAATAAAATATAATCGTGAGCGCGAAAGCCTTAATCACTTCCCTTAATRAACCTCAGTTTATTGAGAGTACTTTCTGTTTACTCAGCTGATGTTTAAAATAATGGCATAAGCACAGGAGTGAATCCTTTCAGCTCTTTCAGTTTTAGCATTTGAACCAACTGGGATAAGTACAATGAAGTAGGATGTGTTGGTATCCTGTTTTGGACATCAATGCGCAAACAAAACTGTGGGCGACACTCAATGGAAACAAAAGAATAGACCCCTTGCATGTGACGTCAATGCAGCTTCATCTGGAGGAACTAGAATCTATTGTTTTGTCCTTCAGTTGGAGTTGCATTCCCACGAACCCCAAGGGGTCTGTAGACCTTTTCGCGGTTAAAAAACAAGTTGCGCGAGAAGCCTGTGGTTTTGCATCAAAAGCGAGAGCAAAATCGGGCAACAAACCAAAAAGTTACCATCTTTGAGCTTGCTTATCCCTTTGCAATGCCAGGAAAATAATTTTTGATGGGTGAAAGGTCATAACTTTGATACTGCCGGCACTCTTGTTCATTTGAGGGCTGCAGCAAACATGTTGTCCGCTTTGGTTTTAACCGCGAAAAGGTCTATAGCTATTGTTTTCACGGAGCCTCATCTCCAATTCTTTTGTGGTCTTTTGTTAATCGTCAAACAACCAAAAAATGGACAGAGTCTATTTTGACACTAGGCAAAGTGAAGATTTCATATAGGTGTGCGGTTTTGGGTCAACACTTTAACAATGTAAGTATAAAGCATTTTTATGTCATTTCAAACTTTGTTATCAAATTCAATTGGCTAAACACAATGGCAAATTATTGCCGTGACCAAATCTATATACGAGCTAGAGACTTTAACTTCAAAATTTTTTTTTTCTATAAATATC